CCTTCCTCCTCCTCCTCCTCCTCCTCCTCCTCCTCCTCCTCCTCCTCCTCCGGGCTTCTCCTCCTCCTCCAAGGCCAGCGTGCGACGTGGCGCCGCCGGCCCGCCTGCTACAGGCTGTCCCCCACCTCGGGGACAGCGCGCACCGACGACGAGGCCCCGGCAGGATTGGACGCCCGAGTGATCCGGGGTAACTCGGGCCCGGGTTAACTCGGGCTTGGATTCCCGAAAAAACGAACCCGAGTTAGCCCTGACCCGAATTACCCCTGATGATTTGGGGCTCTGGACGCCCGAGTTATCCAGGGTAACTCGGGCCCGGGGCAACTCGGGTTCGGATTCCCGAAAAGCGAACCCGAGTTAGCCCTGACCCGAGTTGCCCCTGATGATCCGGGGTTCTGACAGGAGGCTAGCGTGCACCGACGACGCCCTCGATGGGGGGAATCGGGCGCGCAGAAGGGGCCCTCGCGGCGGGATCGCCTCACGGTGATAGCGTGCCCTTTGGAGATCCATGTTGCACGCTGTCGTTGAGACGCCAACCGTGCAGACCGCCGGGTCCATGGATTTGGCGACCGCGCGCCGAATCCATGGATCTCCAATCCATGTTTGCGCGCCCCCGGAAAGAGGGAGGGCGCGGTGAGGGGCAGGACAGGCCCAGAGATCCGACGCTCCAAAACATTGGAGCGGCGGGATTCTGGCAGCCTAGGGCCTCTGGGAGCCCTCGCTGGGCTTCGGGAGAGGGGAAACAACTGCTAGGGTTGAATCGGGCCTGTCCCTCTGCAGGAGGAAGATTCGAACATAGTCAAAAATATTCGAGGGACGATGGTTTCATCATTTTGGGGCATGTTTGGAGTACGTTTGGGGTATGTTTGACTTTGTCGCACAAAATCCCCTTGTAGGGGGACAGGCCCGACTTCACGCTAGGGGCGAAGACCCGCCAGCTCTCAGAAGTTCCCGATGCATCCCCATCGGAATTCATCCTCGCGCTGCCCTCGCCTTGCTGCCAGCAGGGGCTGCGGACCTCTCCTCCCCCACGGCGGGACTCAGGTTCGCCCCCCCCCCCCCCCCCTCTCTCCATCGGGTCTTGCTCGTGTGTTCGTACTCTCCCTCCCCCGCTCCCCCAGGACGGAAGGAGGGACGACGGGAGGAGGATGAGGATGCTTGGTTCTGGGGGGCAGAGTGGGGTCTTTCGCAGTGTCGTCGCAAAAACAGATGCGTTAGCTCGTGCTGTGGCGCAAGGCGCGTGGCAGCCCCCCCCCTTCGGCTACACGCAGGAGTGATCCTGGGCAAGAGTGACCTTTGGGGCGCGGCCTTTGGGGGGCCGCGGGGGGACCAACACACAAGCGCGCAGGACGCTAAACATCTCACCGCGTTCGGCGATCGGGGGACCCCACTGGGCCCGCACCAAAGGTCACTCCGGCGAAGGGTCACTCCTACGTGTGGTCGACCCCTCCCCCGTGGCACGCTCGCATTACCGCGACGCCGACGATGTAGCTCGAGGAGATGCGGAACTGCACCTGGCACCGCCCAGCGAGCCCAACCCGCTGCTGGCGTCCTCCTGCTGCCCCTCTTCGCTGCTCCTGGACTCCCGGAGCCCCCACGGCCCTGGGACGGTCAACAAACACGGCTCATGACAGAAAGTCAGTCCTGGGGGAAGGCCCTGGGGCCCAGGACCCGTTTCCCTCATGACCCGTTTGATTCATGCCGGGAGGAGGGACGAGAGAGAAGGGAAGAGGGAGGAGGGAGGAGGGAGGAGGGATGAGGGGGAGGGAGGAGGAGGAGGAGGAGGAGGAGGAGGAGGAGGAGGAGGAGGAGGCGGAGGAGGAGAAGGAGGAGGAGGAGGACGAGGACGAGGAGGAGGGACCCCTTTCCCTCACGAACGGTCCGTTTGATTCATGCCGATCCTCCTCCGTCCTCCTTGTTTTTCTCCTTGGCCCTTCGCCTGCTGACCCTCGCATCCCCTCTTCCCCTCCCCGCCCCACCCTCTCCTCATCACTGCGCCCGGCCCTTCCCCCCCACTCCTCCTGGCAGGGGGAGCAGGGAGGAGCAGTAGGAGTAGCAGGAGTAGGAGGAGCAGGAGGAGCAGGAGGAGGAGGAGGAGGAGGAGGAGGAGGAGGAGGAGGAGGAGGAGGGAGGAGGGAGGAGGGAGGAGGGAGGAGGGAGGAGGGAGGAGGGAGGAGGAGGAGAGAGAGGAGAGGAGGAGGGAGGAGGGAGGAGGGAGGAGGGAGGAGGGAGGATGAGGAGGAGGATGAGGAAGGAGGAGGAGGAAGAATGAGGAGCGGCGGTGGAGTGCGGCGGCGATCCGCCTTCTGCTCCCACATCGCCAGCCCGATGCTAACGGAGACCGTGGACGCCTCCCGGCTGGTGGAGGTTCGGGGTGGTGTGGACGTCGTCCTCCTCCGTCCCCCTCCTCGTTCTCCTCCCACGTCGTCGTCCTCCTCCGTCCTCCTCCTCCTCCTCCTCCTCCTCCTCCTCCTCCTTTTCCTCTTCCTCCCCCCTCCTCCTCCCTCCTCCTCCTCCCTCCTCCCTCCTCCCTCCTCCCTCCTCCCTCCTCCCTCCTCCCTCCTCCCTCCTCCCTCCTCCTCCTCCTCCTCCTCCTCATCATCCTCCCATCCAGCATCCCCTCCCCCATCCCCTCCCCCTTTCATCATCTTCGACGGGCCGTGGGTCGAGGACCCTCGCGGACCGACCTGGCTGCAGACTCGAACACTGCTGCAGAAAGATGGGGTCGAGAACGAAAGGTGATTTCCCGTGAAGTTATTTTGTGTTCGCGACGTCGAATTCCAGAGTGCACCTGAGCCGATCCTGGCCAGGTCCATGGATCGGTCTACGTCAGGTTCGTGTCGCGACGACGTCGGCGCTGGTTTCTGTCAGCGCGGATCGCTCGATGTCGGCGGACTCGGGGCCACTGACGGCGATCAAGCTTGAGCGCAGGCGCTGGGGTCGCCGCATCGTCGGCACGAGACATGGCGTACACGCCTCAATCCTAGGCTCATGATGGGCCTGGCACCGATCGGTGTAGGTGCACAGCTGGCGTCCTCCTAGTTCGAAGCTGGGCGATCGAGGTTCTGAAGAGCGTGCTCTTTTTGGGGGGCTCCTCGTCGCCAGGGCTAGATTCCCGTCGGAATCCTTACGGAAACGCGGGCGGTAATTCTTCAGTAGGACGACGAGATCGAGGAGGAGGGCGCAAGGGACGGAAGATACATACGTCCTGTGCTGTTGTTTCTTGGGCGCAGCCCGTGATCCCACCAGCCCTTCGGGGCGTAGGTGGTTTAGGGCGGTTCCTCCTCCACCCCCCCTCTTCCCCTTCGGGGAGGGTTTACCCCTCCCCCGACACCTTCTGGGTCTGGACGGGGCGCCCGCGGGTTGGGAGAGCGTCCAAGAAGGCCTCAGCGAGAAGGCAAGCAATGCTGATTTTCCACAGGTGTTGAGCCAAATGTGGCCCCGTGGATGGGGGGGGACCTTATCAGGAATCCCCCCTTCTTTGACCAATAGCCTCCTAAATGGCCCCAAGACGACCCGACAACAACTCTCAAGCGAGCCCCTGGAGGCCCCCAAGAGGCCCCAAGAGGCCCCCGAGAAGCTCCCAAGACGTTGCAAGAGGCCCCCCAAGACCCAGCAAGAGGCCCTCAAGACGCCCCACGGTGCCTGTTAAGACGCCCTCGAGGGACGAGGCGAGACGAGACAAGACGAGACGCGACGCGCGTATCCGTAGCAAGCGGATCCCTTGGGAGCGGCGGGCCAAAGTCCCGTCGAATGTGCGCGTGTGCACGATAATCGGTAATCCTTCTCCGGGTTGTCCCACAATCTCCAACCACGTCATATCCCCTGTCGTAGATTGTAAACAATGTGGAATGTCGTATCGCCACTTGTTTCGCCACCCTCCGTGTCTGCGCATCGCTGGTCTGCGCCCTGCTCATCGCCCTGCTCATCGCCACTTGCGCTTGCGGTAGAGGGTCGTCCAGTCGTGCACCTTGAAGTGTGTCGCTCAGCGAATGAAATTCTTCCACGGTTCTGGGTGGGAGCCGTCTTGAACGACGTCGCGGTGAGTTGATGCTCTGGCGTCGTTGGTACTCGTGCTGTCGCTTGTGCTTGTGATGTCGTCGCGCTGGTTAAGGTCGGGGTTGGCGTAGAGGGGGGCGGAGGAGGAGGAGGAAGATGAGGAGGAAGAGGAGGATCGTGGAGGAAGAGGAGGAGGAGGAGCAGGAGGAGAATGGGCAGGAGGAGGCAAAGGAGGTAACGTTAGGAGGCGGGGGGGAAGATGGACAAAAGGAGGAGGAGGAGGAGGAGGAGGAGCAGGAGGAGAATGGGCAGGAGGAGGCAAAGGAGGTAACGTTAGGAGGCGGGGGGGAAGATGGACAAAAGGAGGAGGAGGAGGAGGAGGAAGAGGTGGGGAAACCAAAAGGTACCAGTACCGCTACTCCCCGGACCTCTCCCAGGGTGCGTTCTGACCAAAACTTCGAAGCGAATACAGCGATGGCCCGTTGCGACGAGGGCCTCCCAGGAGGCCCCAAATGAGGAAAGCGAAGCAAGGGTAGCGGTATCAATACCTCTTCTTCTTCGGAGTGGGGGGGAGGATGGACAAACGGAAGAGGAGGTCAGCACTTTTCGCCGCGATGCTCTTACAATGCGCGGGTGCCGGGTGCCTCGTCGGGTGATGGGAGGTGGCGGGTGAGAAAAGGGTTCTAAAGGGTCACTTCAAGGCCCCGTTTGGGCCCCAACGAGCAGCCGACGTCGCCTCCGGCAGGGACAGCCCTTCGAGGGCTGCTCGAGCTTTTGATCATTCTTGCGGCACAGGCTGACACATGCAAACTAATGAACTTCACACGAGGCCCCCAGGAAGCCCTAGGAGGCCCCCAAGAGGCTACCAAGAGGCCCCTCAGAGGCTCCCAAGAGGCCCCCAAACTCCACCCAAGAGGCACCCGAGAGCAGAAGCATCCCTGAGGACTCTGACCCGCAACCCAGGCACGGTGGCGGGATAGGCCGAAGGCCGTTCGATCCGCCGCCCCCTGTTGGCACGGCATAGGGGCGCCTGGCGTGCTGAATCCTATACTCAGCTTGGTTTGGGCTTTCTTCCAAGAGAGCCCCCCTGGTGCTTCGGCCCAGCGCGCCGGCCACCGGGAAGGCTTGCCCAGAGGCGGCTGCAAACGGTTTTCCTGCTCCAGATGGCTCCAGGATGGCCTCCAAGACGGCCAAGATGGCCTTCAAGTTCGCCGAAGATGGTCGTCCAAGATGGCGTGCACGACGGCCCAAGAGCGTACAAGATGCCTCCAAGACGGCCCAAGATGGCCTCGAGAGGCCCCCAAGAAGCTTCCACGACGGCCCAAGAGGTCTCCAAGAGGGCCTCCAGGAAGGCCCGAAAAGGCCTAAATCATTGATTTGCCTCAGGAATTTGGCAGTTGCTTCTTTTCGGCCTTCTGGCGGCCCGAGACGGCCCAAGAGCCCCCCAAGATCGCCCCAAAATCGCCCAGAAGGCCTCCAAGATGGCACCAGAACGGCCCAACGGAGCCCCAAAGACGGCCCCAAGACAACCCAAGAGGCCTCCAAGACGCCCAAGATGCCCACCAAGACGGCCCTGGAGCACCCCAGGAGGGCCCAAACAAAGTCGGCCCAGAGAGGCCCCCAAGAAGGCGTCCGACGGCGTCAGACGGGCCAAGAGCCAACCAAGACGGCCCAAGATGATCCCAAAGGCCTCAAGAGGTCTCGGAGAGGGCCCAAGAGGCCCCCAAGAAGGCCTTCAGGAAGGCTCGAAAAGGCCCAAATAATCAATTGCCCCCAGGTGTTTTTTTTGTTCGGGGGGGGGGGGGGGGGGAAAACGTTGGCAATTGATTTCTTCGGCCTTCCAGCGGCCCGAGGTGGCCCAAGAGCACCCCAAGATCGCCCCAAGATCGCCCAGAAGGCCTCCAAGATGGCACCAGAAACAGCCCAAGAGGCCCCCCCAAGACGGCCCAAGAGGCCTCCAAGACGCCCAAGATGCCCACCAAGACGGCCCTGGAGCACCCCAAGAGGGCCCAAACAAAGTCGGCCGAGAGAGGCCCCCTAGAAGGCTTCCGACGGCGTCAGACGGGCCAAGAGCCAACCAAGACGGCCAAAGATGGCTCCAAGATGGCCCCAAAGGCCTCAAGAGGCCCCCAAGAGGTCTGCAAGACGGCCCAAGAAGCTTCCAAGAGGTTCTCCAGGAAGGCCCAAGAGGCCAAAATCATTGATTGTTCCCCGGTGTTTTTGTTGCAAAAATTTGGCAAATGCTTCTTTTCGGCCTTCAGCCGGCCCGAGACGGCCCAAGACCGCCCAAAGATCGCCCCAAGATCGCCCAGAAGGCCTCCAAGATGGCACCAGAACGGCCCAATGGGTTCCCCAAGACGGCCCCACGACAGCCCAAGAGGCCTCCAAGGCGCCCAAGATGCCCTCCAAGACAGCCCTGGAGCACCCCAAGAGGGCCCAAAGTCGGCCGAGAGAGGCCCCCAAGAAGGCGTCCGACGGCGTCAGACGGGCCAAGAGCCAACCAAGACGGCCCAAGATGATCCCAAAGGCCTCAAGAGGTCTCCGAGAGGGCCCAAGAGGCCCCCAAGGCCTTCAGGAAGGCTCGGAAAGGCCCAAATAATCAATTGCCCCCAGGTGTTTTTTTTTTATTCGGGGGGGGGGGGGGGGGGGGCAAAACGTTGGCAATTGCTTTTGTCGGCCTTCCAGCGGCCCTAGATGGCCCAAGAGCCCCCCAAGATCGCCCCAAGATCGACCAGAAGGCCTCCAAGATGGCACCAGAAACAGCCCAAGGGGCCCCCCCAAGACGGCCCCACGACAGCCCAAGAGGCCTCCAAGACGCCGAAGATGCCCTCCAAGACGGCCCTGGAGCACCCCAAGAGGGCCCAAAGTCGGCCCAGCGAGGCCCCTAAAAAGGCTTCCGACGGCGTCAGACGGGCCAAGAGCCAACCAAGACGGCCAAAGATGGCTCCAAGATGGCCCCAAAGGCCTCAAGAGGCCCCCAAGAGGTCTGCAAGACGGCCCAAGAAGCTTCCAAGAGGTTCTCCAGGAAGGGCCAAGAGGCCAAAATCATTGATTGTTCCCCGGTGTTTGATTGCAAAAGTTTGGCAGTTGCTTCTTTTCGGCCTTCAGACGGCCCAAGACGGCCCAAAGATCGCCCCAAGATCGCCCAGAAGGCCTCCAAGATGGCACCAGAACGGCCCAATGGGGTCTCCAAGACGGCCCCAAGACAGCCCAAGAGGCCTCCAAGGCGCACAAGATGCCCTCCAAGACGGCCCTGGAGCACCCCAAGAGGGCCCAAACAAAGTCGGCCCAGAGAGGCCCTTCAGAAGGCTTCCGACGGCGTCAGACGGGCCAAGAGCCCACCAAGACGGCCCAAGATGGTTCCAAAATGGCTCCAAGATGCCCCAAGAAGGCCCCCAAAAGGTCTCCAAGACGGCCCAAGAGGCCCCCAAGAGGGCCTCCAGGAAGGCCCGAAAAGGCCAAACTAAGTATTTGTCCCTAAATGTTTTTTCTTGTTCGGGGGGGTCGTAATGTTGGCAATTGCTTCTTTTCGGCCTTCCGGCGGCCCGAGACGGCCCAAGAGCCCCCCAAGATCGCCCCAAGATCGCCCAGAAGGCATCAAAGATGGCACCAGAAACAGCCCAAGGGGCCCCCAAGACGGCCCCAAGACGGCCCCACGACAGCCCAAGAGGCCTCCAAGACGCCCAAGATGCCCTCCAAGACGGCCCTGGAGCACCCCAAGAGGGCCCAAAGTCGGCCCAGAGAGGCCCCCAAGAAGGCGTCAGACGGGCCAAGAGCGAACCAAGACGGCCAAAGATGGCTCCAAGATGGCCCCAAAGGCCTCAAGAGGCCCCCAAGAGGTCTGCAAGACGGCCCAATAAGCTTCCAAGAGGTTCTCCAGGAAGGCCCAAGAGGCCAAATTCATTGATTGTTCCTAGGTGTTTGTTTGCAAAAAGTTTGGCAATTGCTTCTTTTCGACCTTCCAGCGGCCCGAGACGGCCCAAGAGCCCCCCAAGATCGCCCAGAAGGCCTCCAAGATGGCACCAGCACGGCCCAAGGGGCCCCCAAGATCGCCTCAAGAGGGCCCCAAGACAGCCCAAGAGGCCTCCAAGACGCCCAAGATGCCCTCCAAGACGGCCCTGGAGCAACCCAAGAGGGCCCAAAGTCGGCCCAGAGAGGCCATCAGAAGGCTACCGACGGCGTCAGACGGGCCAAGAGCGCACCAAGACGGCCAAAGATCCTCCAATATGCGTCAAGAAGGCCCCCAAGAGGTCTCCAAGACGGCGCAAGAGGCCCCCAAGAGGGCCTCCAGGAAGGCCCGAAATGGCAAAACTAATTGATTGTCCCCAGGTGGTTTTTGCAAAATGTTGGCGATTGCTTCTTTTCGGCATTCCGGCGGCCCGAGACGGCACAAGAGCCCCCAAAGATCGCCCCAAGATCGCCCAGGAGGCACCAGAAACACGCCCCAAAGGCTCCCTAAGACGGCCCCAAGAGGGCCCCAAGACAGCCCAAGAGGCCTCCAAGACGCCCAAGATGCCCTCCAAGACGGCCCTGGAGCACCCCAAGAGGGCCCAAAGTCTGCCCAAAGAGGCCATCAGAAGGCTACCGACGGCGTCAGACGGGCCGTGAATGCCCTAAGACGGCGAAAGAGGCCCCCGAGAAGCCCCCAAAGGTCCTCAAGAGGCCCCCAAGATGCCTCCAGGAGGCTCCCAGGATGCTCCCATGAGGCCCCAAGAGTGGTCCCAGAGGCTCCCAAGATGCCCCATCCTCCTCCCCCTCCTCCTCCTGATCATCCCTGCCATTTTCCCCCAAGTGTCCCCCGAAGGGTTTCTGTAACGGCTGGAGGAACATATCGTCCGATAGCTTGGCAGAGCTATTGCCACAACGCCCGGGCACATGGGCGAGTCCAAAAGGCAGGTGGCGGCGGTGGTTCGCCGTAGGCGTCTTCGATAAACTTTACACTGAACGTCCTCAAACTCCATGCGAATCAGACGCCAGGCGAGCCAGGAACAACCCACGAACTGGCCTGCGATAGACAAACTCATGAGGTGAACCGTGGCCTGAGAGATAACATGCCGATCCCCGCCACCAGGAACTGGCCATTGCGATTCCCATTGTGCCAACTCGGTGGCTCTGGCGGCAGCATGTCTGTCGTCAGACTGAGAGTAGACGAGCGCGTTCCACTACTCGCAAAGTAACTACTCGCAAATGGCCTGGATCAGACGAGGGGGATCTACGGCAACTTACATCGAAGCAGAGATGTGTTTTTCAGACGTTTGCGAGTAGGCACTTTGCGAGTAGTGGAACGCGCCCGGTGAGAGGGGGCACGTTCAGGGGGACGGGCTCAGGGAAGAAACATCGACCCTGAATCGGCGATACATCGCCGGTAGGCCCCCGAGCGAATCCGCACGTTCCTGCGCGGGCGGGCTATCGGACCCCATCTCGGCGACGAGTGGGCGGTCAGGAGTCGATGCGTCCCCCCTGGCGGTGCCCCTGACTCCGTGGACACCCGAGATAGGTACGGAATCACTGGGAACGATACCCACCGACAAGCGTTGTCCAAAACCTACCGTGGCCGCTGTTGGGCAAGCAACCGCATGCCTTACATGGACAACGTCCGTGGCAACGTCGACAGCGAACCGTGTTCAACATGGGCAGAAACTGCTGTCGGTCTCTGTGCCCAGTCTTGCCGTACACGTCGATCGGATGACGAAGGTACAAGCGTGAAGTAGGATGGCGGATAAGGTAAGTTGGTTCAGGCTTCTTGAAATAGAAAAGCGCGGGATCAGGGGATCCAAAAACACATGCTTTCAACGACCGGCGTGTAACCATGTCGATCGCACCGACTGCGGAAGCTGGCCCTAAACATGCTGGCCCGGCGGGGGGGTCGATCGCGGGCCCAGTCCTTGCTGACCTCCTCCCCCCACCCCGCGCGGGCCAGCACGGACAGCCGCAGCAGCCATGCGGCGCCCTGGCGCGGCCGTGGTGGTTGCTGTCGTCATCGTCGACGACGACGACGTCGTTGTCTCCGCCGCCGCCGCCGCCGCCGCCGTCGTCGTCGTCGGCGGCGGCGGCGACGGCGTCGTCGTCGGTTTCGTAGCCGTCGCCGTCGGGGGGCAGGCACGCGACGTAGGACGAGAAAAAGGAGGAGGGGACGGAGGAGGAGGGAAGGAGGGCATGAGACATGGCCTGGGGAGAAAAGTGACAGGGAGGGAGAAGGAATGGGGGAGAAAGGGGATGAAGAAAGGAGGAGAAAGGAGGATAATGATAAGGAGGAGGAGGAGGAATGTTGAAGGAGGGCAAGGAGGAAAGAGGACGGACGTGGAGGAGGAGGAGGAGGAGGAGGAGGAGGAGGAGGAGGAGGAGGATTCGCATACATGGCCAATCATTTTTCCATCCGCCAGGACGACTTCCTTCTGTGTACGGATGTGCTTTGCCCCCGAGGAAGGCACCCTCACAGAAACAACGTCACAACCTTCAAAAGCAACTGCTGTTTCAAATCCTGCTCTGCGCCTGGGCCATCTTTACAGCAGGGAGGGTGGGGGCGCAGGCTAAAGCTTGAGCCCCGCGGTTGCGGCAGGGCGGCAGACTCACCAACTCACTTCAAGCAAACCTGCCCTGAAGGACTCGGGTGCATGGCCAATCGATTTTTCCCAACCATCCTGTGGTGTTGGGTCTTCGCTTTGAGGAGACGTCGCCCTTCGTTCCTCCTCCTCTCCTCCTCCTCCTCCTCCTCCTCCTCCTCCTCCTCCTCCTCCTCCTCCTCTCCTCCTCCTTTCCTCCTCCTCCTCCTCCTCCGCTCATTTCGCAACCCCCCCACTGTTTCGTGGCCTCACGGGAGCTACACCGGCCCCAGTGCCACCGCCCGCATGCGCCCCCACACCCCCCATTTCGGCACACCCCTCACACGTTTTCGTGGCCCCATAGGGAGCTCCACCGAAGGCCCCAGTGCCACCGCCCGCATGCGTCCCCCAAGCCCATTTCGGCCACACCCTCACACGTTTCGCCATTTCTGCACACCCCTCACACGTTTCGTGGCCCCATAGGGAGCTCCACGAAGGCCCCAGTGCCACCGCCCGCATGCGCATTTCGGCACACCTCACACGTTCATAGGGAGCCCACACCAATTTTCGGCACACCCCTCACACGTTTCGTGGCCCCATAGGGAGCTCCACCGAAGGCCCCAGTGCTACCGCCCGCATGCGTCCCCACACCCATTTCGGCACACCCCTCACACGTTTCGTGGCCCCATAGGGAGCTCCACCGAAGGCCCAGTGCTACCGCCCGCATGCGTCCCCCACACCCATTTCGGCACACCCCTCACACGTTTCGTGGCCCCATAGGGAGCTCCACCGAAGGTCCCAGTGCCACCGCCCGCATGCGTCCCCCACACCCATTTCGGCACACTCCTCACACGTTTCGTGGCACCATAGGGAGCCCCACCGAAGGCCCCAGTGCCACCGCCCGCATGCGTCCCCCACATCCGTTTCGGCACACCCCTTACACGTTTCGTGGCCTCATAGGGAGCTCCACCGAAGGCCCCAGTGCCACCGCCCACATGCGTCCCCCACACCCATTTCGGCACACCCCTCACACGTTTGGTGGCCCCATGGGGAGCTCCACCGAAGGCCCCAGTGCCACCGCCCGCATGCGTCCCCCCCTCCCAGTGCAGCGCTTCGTGGACCCATAGTGAGGTCCACCGAAGGCCCGAGTGCTACCACCCGCATGCGTCCCCTCCACCCTATATAGCGTTTCGTGGCCCCATGGCGAGCTCCACCAAAGGCCCCAGTGCTACCGCCCGCATGCGTTCCCCCCCCACTCAGTGCAGCGCTTCGTGGCCCCATGGGGCGCTCCACCCAAGAAGATATTCACAATTGCGGTATTCACAGCTGCATGTGGTTGGGTCCTTCGCCAGGATAATTCTCCATCCGCCAGGACAACTTCGCTCTGGGTAAGGATGTGCTTTGTGCTTGAGGAAGGCACCTTGACAAAAAGCAACATCACAGACTTCAAACCAGCTGCTGTTGAACATCCGAACCAGTTCGTGAGAAGCCCAGGATACACAGCCCCAAATTTGACTTGCGAGCTTTGGCCTGGACGCATCAATGTGGCCGAACATCTCGAACAAACTCCTGTAGCAACTTCTCGCGAAACTGGCATACCACGGCCCGTCAGAGAGGGAACGGGGTAGACGTCTGCTCGCTTGGAGACAATCCTCGAACCTTTCATCTCGAGGGTGAAGCGGGGACGCCTCGCCCTCGACATCGCAGATCGATATGACACCCTGGGAGCCGAGTGGATTTCCGCCCGGGCGCGCCGAAAGCGCACACGTCGAACACGGCCCCGGTGACCCCTGGGAGGCCTCACCGCCGCTGGGAGGCAGCACCCTCTCGGGGGTCACGTCCCGAGTCCGCACGGGGCCGCGAAGCCGAAGCGCGCGCGGCGCGCGCCCTGCCGACACGTCATCTCCATCCGCCCCGGGCCCGGCCCGGCGGTCCTCAAACGGGTACTCGAGGCGGCACCTCACGGCGTTGGCGTCCCCGGAGGAGTACGGGGGCTTTCTGCGCCCTGGCTCCCAGGGTGACCGTCGGCGGCGCGGCCGCGGACGCCCCCCCGCCCACCAAGAACTGGAACTCGATGTCTCGCCATCGCTCGGGCGTCCATTCCCCGTGCATTTTTCGACTTCGTGCGTGTATTTTTCGCTAAATGATCAAAGATGCTCCTCGATGGTCCCCGCCGAGAAAAAATGCACACGTCCGAGCGATGCCAAGATGTTGTCGCGGGGCCTCGGTGTTGGCAACCCCTCAGAAGCTGCGTCTGAGGGAGCCGTCTGCACTGCTGCGCCCACGCTCTGCGCCTGCTGGACGGGGTCCACGTCCGTGTGCTGGGCGGGCTGCGGCAGCGGCGGCGCCTGCCGCCGTCCTGCGCCCGAAGCGGCCCGCGGCGGAGCCGCCCTCCGCGCCACCATGCGCGGGCAGGTCCCAACCCGCAAGGCTCGAAAACGACCGCGCCACACGAGCACCTGCGACCATCGCTCGCCTCCATCGCCCGCAGCTCGACCTCCGCGCGTCCGAAGCCAGCGCGAAGCCTCGGGGAGGAACGCGGGCCGCATGCCAAGCGGCTATTCGGCGACGCCGGGCACGACCTGACGCCCTGGCACCCGCTCGCCACTGGCTGCCCGCCGAAGCGCAGGGCGGGCCCCCCGCTCGCGGTCACACCACGAGCCGAGGAGCGCCTCTCCTCCTCCTCCTCCTCCTCCTCCTCCTCCTCTCCTCCTCTTCTTCTTCTTCTTTTTACTATTATTATTATTATTGTTCTTCTTCTTCTTCGTATTCTTCGTCTTCTTCTTATTCTTCTTCGTCTTTTCGTCTTCTTATTATTCTTCTTATTCTTCTTCTTTTTTGTCTTCTTCTTCTTCTTCGTCTTCGTCCTCCTCCTCCTCCTCCTCCTCTTCCTCCTCCGCCTCCGCCTCCTCTCCTCCTCCTCCTCTCCTCTCCTCCTCCTCCTTCTCCTCCCCCCTCCTCCTCCTCCTCCTCCTCCTCCTCCTCCTCCTCCTCCTTCTCCTCCTCCTCCTCCTCCTCCCCCTCCCCCTCCCCCTCCCCCTCCCCTCCTCCCAGCTCGGCTCGGGCTCGTCGTAGACCAGCTTGGCATGCACCCGGAGCCCTGCGGCGGGCAGCCCGCTGCGCTGCCGTCGCGCCGCGCAGCTCCGCGGCCAGCCAGCGCATGGGCCGCCACCCCGCAGGGCGGCCCCCCGCAGCCAGCACCATTGGAATACCCCCGCTCCGCCGATGGAGCCAGCGGCAATTGACTACATACCAGACCACCCCAACCCAACCCGAAGACCCGAATTTCGGGTTAGGGGGGGTAAGGGTTCCCCACGTGCTTTTTCGATGTTTCCCGACCCCCCCCCACTGGAAATCGAGGGTAAATCTGAGCCTTCGGGTTGGATTGGGGTGGTGGGTGGTGAGCAATGGGTGCCAAGCACCGGGCGTGAGCCAGAATGGCTACGGAGAGGGGGGGGACGAGAAGGAGGCGGAGGCAGAGGAGGGAAGGGCGGGAGGCGACGGCGCAGCCGGTGGGGCCGTCCTCTGGGGCCCCGTCGGTGCCCGCCCACACCATCAGCGCGTACAGCTGGACCAGGGCGCTCGGGGTGGACTCCAGGATGGCCTGGCAGGGCCCTGCCCACCGCCCATCGTCGACGTCGTCGCCGCCGACGCCGCCTCCGACGCCGCCGCCGCCGCCGTGGTCGTCGTCGTCGTCGTCGTCGTCGTCGTCGTCGTCGTCGCCGTCGTCGTCGTCGTCGTCGTCGTCGTCGTCGTCGTCGTCGTCGTCGTCGTCGTCGATGGTCGTCGCCGTTGGGGCCCATCGTCGCCGTGCATTGTCCGTCGCCGTGTCGTCGTCTGAAGGGGAGGGGGAAGGATTATGAGGAGAGGAGGGGGGACAAATGAGGAGGGGGATGGAGGGAAGAGGTGAGGGAGGGGGAGGGGGACAGGCGCGCGATAACAGAAAGGTCTGTCCACCAAGAACCTGTGACCACGGTGATGTAGTGGCAGCAGCTTGCTGCACACAGCAACGCCTCAAACTCTGATGTCTCAGCTGGGAGGCTGCTAGCTCCCTATGTTTGGGCGACGAAATCTATACATATCCACTCACGCCCACCTGGCTTGGCCAGGAGGACGTATACACAACTTCTGGGCCCAGGAAGGGCCCGGCCAGCGGGGAGTGGACATGTTTAGATTTCGTCGCCCCATATGTCGGTTGAGGGACCAATAACAAGTCTAGGATCTAGGATGAGAGAGAAGGCCGAGAAGAGAGGAGGAAGGGGGATACACACGCATTCGAAATCCAACCCCAGCCCAGAACCCCCCTCTGGGGTATAAGTCTTGGCTTGACCCCCTGTGCCCTGTGCCCTTCGCCACCATTTCACACGCCTCGTAGCCATCCCCGACCCTTGCTCCTGGCTGCTGCGCCGAGCTGGACCAACGCCAAAGAGCGAGGAGTTAGGAGGAACCCATGGCCCCTCTATTTCGGAGTCAAGCTCGACGCCACGGCGCTGCGGGACATCGCCTCTACAGGGAACATCCACATAACTTCTTTTCCCAGCGCCCCCAACCGCCACCGTGCCTTCAGCACGCAGTGGAGGGCCCCAAGGCTCATGCCGAAGTGAGTGTCACAGGGGTCGTAGGATGGCAACGGCCCAGATCACCAATTAGCCAGACATTCTGTGCGTTCTTGTCGTGTCCCTCGTAGCCTTCTGGGACGCCAGTCAGCCCAAACGACTCCACAACCCCCATCGTTCAAACAGGCTCTAGAACTCTCCCTCGCGGATGGTCATGCCACGGGGGCGTCTGCTCGAAGCGTCAGTAAGAGGCAACACACACATGAAATGGATGAGGTGTTGTATGGTTCGGGTGTATAAAGATGCATGCGCGTCCCACGGGTGCTTGCCTTGGGAACATTCGACGGCGCGTTTGAACAGGCCCCCCCCAAAACACTCGGCGCCGTCGAACAGAGCCAGGGGGACGCCCCTCCCCCCTCACCCCTCCTCCACGAACCCCTCCCCCCCACTCCAAGGGGGGTGGGGGTTCGAACTCCCCCCTCCCCCCCAATGACGCAGGGAGGGGGATTCAAACCTCCCCCCCCCGGGAGTCGGCCCTGGCGCGGCGGCGGCGGCGGCGGCGGCTGGCAGCGCCGACGCCCACACCCACGCCTGCACCAACACCCACGCCCACGCCCACGCCCACGCCCACGCCCACACCCTCGCCCACGCCCGCGCCCGCGCCAGCGCCAGCGCCAACGCTCACACGCACGCCCACGCCCACACTCGCGCCCACGCCCACGCCCACGCCCACGCCGACGCCCACGCCACACGCCCACTCCCACTCCCGCACCCAGGCCCAGGCCCAGGCCCAGGCGCACGCTCACGCCCACGCTCACACCCAAGCCCACACCCACACCTACGCCCACACCCACGCCCACACCTACTCCCGCGCCAACGCCCACGCCAACGCCCACACCTATGCCCACGCCCACGCCCACGCCCGCGTCCACGCCCCCCCGCCCCTTCGGAGGCAAACGGATTCTTTGGGCCGCCGGCGGAAGCCGGCGGAAGAGATGACAGCTCTTTCGATCCTCGAAAGCAAGGCCTTGTTTGGAACGCGCCATGTAGTATTAGTATTTTGGGGGTGACGCCGAGAGGAGCAAGAGAGAAAAAAAACACTCCATCGGGGCCCGGCTCGCCCACTGAACAAAAGATCGAGGAGGCCCAAAAGCCATCCCAGAATCAGGATCCCCAAACGCACGGGGCGCGGGCCCCCAAGGATGTACCGTGAACTGGATCACTGCCCCTCCCCGAGGAGGGAGGACGATGGGTTCGTGAAGCCGCTCGCAGGCACGTGGGGGGACCCTGCCCCTGGACCTTCGGATTCGGTGCTCCCTCCTGGTCGAGGCTGACCTGCCGCAGCAGCCAGGCTGCAACTGAACCTCTGGGCGCGCCGGCGCGGCGACGTGCCACTGGCCGCGCGGGGGCGCACCGCGCGCGGCAGGCGCAGGCCGTCTCCGTGGGCCACTGCCCCCGGGGGCCCGGCCGACGCAAGGACCAGAGGGCTCAAGCAGATTCCACGACGGCTTAAGAGGCCCCCGAGACGCCCGAAGGTCGGCCCAAGACGCCCAGGATGGCCCCAAGACGGCCCCAGAAGCCTCCCAGACTGCCCAGGAAGCCTCCAAGAGCATTCCCAAGAGGGGCCCAAGAGGCCAACATCGTCGAGTTCCTATAGGGGATGCCTCCAACGCTGGAATCTCCTCCCCCCCGCTGTCGTCGTCCTCGTCCTCAGTGGGCCCTGGAAACGGCAGGGCCGTTTGTCCACCGCTTCCCGAAAAGTGTCCCTTGAAAATCGAAGCGGCAACAAAACGGCGACCGGAAGCGG